TCTGCATCGACCTCGCCTGCAGCCCACTCGAGCTCACTTGCAGATCTCTTCCCGAAGCCCGACCTCTCCTGGAGCTCCTTGCCTGGACCTCGCCTGGCCTGGAGGGGCTCGCTTGGCCTGGAGGGGCTCGCCTGACCTCGTCTCGCCAGGAGGAGCTTGCCTGAAGTCGTCGACCTCGCCTGCTTGCCTGCGGAGGTTTGGATCCACACCCAAATCCAACAATCTCCCACTTGGAGACCAAACCGTCGTCAGTAGGCTATCTCAACAAGCACCTTCTCCTGTGTGGCTCCGCCCACTTGGAGACCAAACCGTCGTCAGTAGGCTATCTCAACAAGCACCTTCTCCTGTGTGGCTCCGCTCTCATCACTTATGCATAAAGGCTAACTGAAGTTACGCACAACTCCAGTTTCTGAATGGTCACCGCCTTTGTTAACATATCTGCTGGATTCTTGCTTCCTGGAATCTTCTCTAGTTTTAACACATCATCTTCCAACAGGGATCTAATGAAGTGGTATCTGTTTTCTTCAAAAGTTGCCTTCATCATTGATTCCATTAAAAACTTCAAACGTTACAAATGAATTCGAATAACAAAGAAATAAAAATTATAACTTTCTTGAAAATAAACACAAGATCCGTTCGTCGTCTCTTGCTTGCGTGGGTCTTTAGCCTGTGACGGGGACGTCGATATCCGTGGACTACCTGGCAATCAGATCTGATCCAGAGCTTCGTCGATCCGCGAGGAGATCTAGAAACTTGAAGCGCCTATCTCGGATAAAGCGAGATATTTGCTCTTCTTAGTATTATCGCCAAGGGACAATACTAAGGATCGGGTACAGGTGATGTAGATCTGACGAAGAAACTCTCTTGCGTTGAAGTGCTCGACCACTCTTCACTCCGGCGGGGCTTCGCCTCTTCTCCAAAATTCCAGATCTCCAAAAAATGAGGCCTAAGACTTGTATTTATAGGCTTGAGGGGTTGCGGAGCGGTTAAAACTGATCGAAAATCGTCAAAAACACGTCCCAAGTGCGAGACAGCTCGGGGTGTCTCGCACCTGTGCGAGACAGTCTGTACCCTCTTCAGTATTTTGGTCATAACTTCCTCATATGACATCCAAATGATCTGATTACGGATTTGATAGAAAGCTGACAAAAATATCTACAACTTTCCTGTTTTGAGTTTCTTTAGATTCAAAACGGATTATGGTCAAAAAAGCTCCACAATGTCCGAGACACCTCGGGTGTCCCAGTTCAGCCTGAGACGTTCCGTTATGCCCGTTTGTTCGTTTTCGCCGTAACTTCTTCATCCGAACTCGGATTTGAACGATTCAAAGTGCGTTGGGAAGCTGACGAGGTGTTCTATAAGCTCCAATGATTAGATCATCTGTTGAATGCATGAGACACGAAGGGCGTTGTTCCTTTTGTAAACATCGCGGGGTTCTCGATTAGCCTATGTCTTCGTTATTCCGAAATCCTGTCAGCTCACGTAGTTCGTCGGTTCACTTCAAGCGTTCACCTACATCAGTCAAACTCCTGTGAACCAGATAGTGATGTTCATTGTCGTTCCTTAACACTGAGCTGTTCGTGGAGACCTATAGGCAATTTTCAATGCCTACAGATACCCCCTCCAAAGCGTTCCAGACTCGTTTCTTTTATAGAAGAGGCTGGAATACTTTGGATGGGATTGATCCAGCTTTCAGTCGGCGTAAAGGACCTGTAGTTAGCTTCAACTCTTGGCTCCTTCGATTTTCGGTCTATTCGATGCTTTGACGAATAACCGAAATTCTTCCGGCACTGCGTTTATCGCCTGACCGTTGTCGGAATCTCGAGTCTATCACTAGTGAGTTGAGTTTGGCTCGTGTCATTGAGTTGACTTTGAATTGACTATCTCTGTCATATTGTACTGACTTAAGGTCTCAGATTATCGTATGTTGACTTTTTATCACAACGTGTTGACTGACGTTGACCTAGGGTTACGCGTTGACCGGCGTTGACCCTAGGGTTCTGAACGTCGAATGTTGACTTTTTGTCGCAACGCGTTGACTGGCGTTGACCTAGGGTTACGCGTTGACCAGCGTTGACCCTAGGGTTTCAAACGTCGAACATTGACTTTTTGATCGCAACGCGTTGACTGACGTTGACCTAGGGTTACGCGTTGACCGGCATTGACCCTAAGGTTTCGAATGTCGAACGTTGACTTTTTTTTTCGCAACGTGTTGACTGGCGTTGACCTGGGGTTACGCGTTGACCGGCGTTGACCCTAGGGTTTTAAACGTCGAACATTGACTTTTTGATCGCAACGCGTTGATTTGCGTTGACTTAGGGTTACGTGTTGACCGGCGTTGACCCTAAGGTTTCGAATGTCGAACGTTGACACAGTTTATACTCGTACGTTTACTGGAGTATGCACAGTTTAAGCTCTTAAGGTATTGGAGCACGGCGGTCCCAAGTGTCGGGGTTGCAGGACCAACTGTTAAAACTGATTCATCTGCATTTGTGGATCTTATTTTAATGTTGTTGGATAATCGAGCCACGAGACCAACTAACAGAGCTGATGCATCAATAACTCGCACTTATAGAATTTTTGGCAAATTCTCAGCCATCAACGGGTTTGATGAGCCTTTACCGACTACCGTTTGAGTCGGGCTAGCATGCAGATTGTTTAGATCCGTTCTGCACATAACGTTGTGCTAAAAGAGTTAACTCTTTTAGTACTACGACATTAAATACGTAGACTTCGTCTTTCTCACGGGAATAGACTACCCGGCAACGCGTGTTAGGCGCTGACTTATCCTTACTTAGGATTCAGGATAAAAATCCCCAGACTCGGATTCTGGTGTCTTCTTCAATCGGTAAAAGACTAAACCGGCAACGCGTGTTAGGCGTTGACTTATCCCTGCTTAGGCTTCGGGATAAAATTCCCCAGGTTTAGACCCTGGTGTCTTTTTCAATCGGCGAAAGACTAAACCGGCAACGCATGCTAGGCGTAGACTTATCTCTATTTAGGAGTTGAGATAAAATTCCCCGTGCACCAAGTGCCCGGATTGGAAGTTGAGAATTGTGTCTTTTCTAAGAGCAAAGACACCTTGCTTAGGTTTCAGGATAGAATACCCCAGAATCGAACTCTGGTGTCTTTTTCTACGGAAAAAGACTAAACCGGCAGCGCGTGTTAGGCGCAGACTTATCCCTGCTTAGGATTCGGGATAAACTTCCTAAACTGGAATTCTATTGTCTTCTTCAATCGGTGAAAGACTAAACCGGCAACGCGTGTTAGGCGTTGACTTATCCCTACTTAGGATTCGGGATAAAATTCCCTGTACCTGTGAGGCACAGATTTTGGGATTTGAAAAAGGTGGTGTCTTCTCTTGGGGCAAAGACGAACCCGAAATGGGGGAAGAATTTTTATATTCTATCTCCCGACAATGAAGAAGAAGAATTTTATATTCTATCTTCAGCTGGAAAGGAGACTCGAGGTGGGATCTCCACCCCCAGAATCCGGAAAGGTGAGACTGAGAGTGGGATCTCCACTCCGAGAATCGAAAAGATTCGGATAACCCTAACTGTCGGAAGGTTTGATTACCGAACTAAAGATGAATTTCTCGTTTATCGAGAGTGAATTATGGTTTTGACCCTAACTGTAGGAAGGTTTGGCCAAACAGGAGTTTGAGGTGACCCTAACTGTTGGAAGGTTTGATCACTCGATTTGAAAGTGGACCTCTCGTTCATTGGAGGAATCGAGAGGGGATTTTGACTGTGGTCCTAACTGTAAGAAGGTTTGACCAATTGGGAGGTTTGAGACGATCCTAACTGTAGGAAGGTTTGATCGCTCGATCTGTGGACCTCTCGTTCATTGGAGGAATCGAGAGGGGGATTTTGGTTGTGGTCCTAACTATAAGAAGGTTTGACCAATTGGGAGGTTTGAGACGATCCTAACTGTAAGAAGGTTTGATCGCTCGATCTGTGGGCCTCTCGTTCATTGAATGAATCGAGAGGGGATTTTGGTTGTGGTCCTA